CTTTCTTTCTTTCTTTCTTTCTTTCTTTCTTTCTTTCTTTCTTTCTTTCCTCCTCCCTGCTTCCTAGAACTTTATGTAGACCAGATCAGGTGAGCCTCTAAGTTGCACAGCTTCACCTTCCTCTGCCTCCCAAGTGCTAGGATTAAAGGTGTGGGCCCTATGCCCATGCTGGTTGTTCTCTTTTACAAGGGAGAACTTACTATATTTGTGACAAAACAAAACATTGGATGAAAAAAATGTCTCTATAGGGTCTGTGAGACAACTTATTGCCCAAGCATTATGACCTGATTTCAATCTCTGGAACCCATGGTAGAAGCAGAAATCCAACTTGTCCTCTGGCCGGGAAGTGGTGGCACACGCCTTTAATCCCAGCATTTAGGAGACAGAGGCAGGTGGATTTCTGAGTTCGAGGCCAGCCTGATCTACAGAGTGAGTTCCAGAACAGCCAGGGCTACACAGAGAAACCCTGTCTCGAAAAATCGAAAAAAAAAAAAAAGAAAGTTGTCCTCTGACTTCCATACACATATTATGACATGCACATGTCAGCATATATATACACGCATGTGCAAGTACACACACACACACACACACACACACTCAATAAAAAAAAATTTAAAAAGAAAAGTGCATCTATCAATGTTCACAGTAGTTTTATTTATAATAGCCCCAAATTGAAATCAGCTTCCTATTGAATTGGTGAATGGTTAAACTAAACGTGACACATGCACACCATGTATGCTACTCAGCAAGAACCAGGAGAAGACTGTGCTGGAGATGTGGCTCGGTTGGTAGAGTGCCTAAATCAGAATCAGGTAAGGGCATTTTGTAAGCTTGTTTTGTTTTCCCACTCTATATGCCAGGCTAGCCTAGGCTCTGCAGCTTCAGCAATGATCTTGTTCCCATTCCCATGTCTGTCCCAGGAGTGCCGAGACTAAGGGTGTTCCCTCAGTTCTAGGAGGTCCAACTCAGGCCCTCATGGTTTCATGCCAAGTGCCTTACTCCCAGCCCTACATACTTATTGAAAAAATTACAAGCCAGGTGGTGATGACGCATGCCTTTCACCTCAGCTCTTGGCAGGCAGAGGCAGGCAGATTTCAAGGCCAGCCTTGTATACAAGAGTAAGTTCCAGGACAGCCAGGGCTACACAGAGAAACCCTGCTTTGAAAAACAACAACAAAACAAACAAGCAAAAACCAAAACCCAGCTCCAAACAGTAAAAATATCAGCACTGACCTGGATGTGGTTGTATATACCTGTGACCCCCCCACACCCCGCACTGGAGATGTTTAGGGCAAGAGGACCAAGTTTTCAACACTAGCCAGGGCTACATAGCAAGATCATGTTTAAACAAATACATAAGAGCAAGATCAATGCTTGCCAGAAATTCAGGAAAAGAAAGAAGCTTGAAGAGATGAGTCATGGAGGGCTTGGGGAAGTAGTAAAACTATTTTGCATACTCTTGTAATTGATGATGGATACATGGGATGCATTTGCCAAAAGCTATATAATACACATCCCAAAGATTGAGCCTTAATACAATGAATAGTCTTTAGTTAATGTAGCCTTACTGGCTCACTGGTTATAACCACTGTATGATATAAATGCAAGTATAATTGAATTATTAGAGCGATTGACATGCAAATTAACATGTGCACCATTTTGGGGATGAGGGACAATTTGAGGACTTTATTTTCCATTTAACTTGCTCTGTAAACCTAAAACATCTATCCCATTAAAGACTATTAAAAATGTCTTGGGCTAGAGAGATGGCTCAGTGGTTAAGAGTACTGCTTTTCCAGAGGTCCTGAGTTCAATTCCCAGCAACCATATGGTGGCTCACAACCATCTGTAATGGGATCCAATGGCTCTCTTTTGGTGTGTCTGAAGACAGCTACAATGTACTCATATACATAAAATAAATAATTTAAAAAAAAGTCTTAGTCTTTCCAGGTCTTAGTTTTTTTATCTCTGAAGTGGGTACTTGAACCTGGTTTCAGGTTGGCTTTGAACTCCCATCTCAGTCCTCTGAGTGCTAGAATTACAAGCAAGGGCCACTATGCCTGGATGAATTTTGTGTGTGTGCTGGGGCCTTGTGCATAGTAGACAAGAACTTTACCGCTGGGCTTCTCTTAACTGAGTCAATTTTTTTTCAATCTCTGTGTCTCTGAAAGCTTTCCCTCTGTTATGTTTCTCCTTGCCTTGTGGCCTTGTATCACTGCATTGTAGATCAGCTGAGCTGGTATCACTTGGCTATGACTGTTCTGACAATGACAGGCTCACAGAAAAGATTAAGCAACATTTCCTTTATGGAGGAATTTTTTTTTAAGGGAGAAAGGACTTATTGTAATTCAGAGTTTGGTACAGCCCGTCATGGTGGGAAGAGTATAGCAGCGGAAAGGCTATGGAGGCTATGAAGGCTGGAGCATGAGGCTTCGTGCTCACAACTAGACAGACCAGGGGAATGCTGGTACTGAGTGATCCTCCCACCCCCTTAATTCAGTGTAAGACCTCAGCTCCTGTTACTATCACAGTATCATTCACATTGAGGATGTGTCTTCCTACCTCAGTCAAACCCCCCTCTGATAGTGTCCTTGTATGAAGCTTATCCTAGAACTAGCTCTGTAGACTAGGCTGGAGTCAAATGCACAGAGCTCCTGCTGCCTTTGGCTCCCAAGTCCTGAGATGAAAGGCATGCATCAGCACCCCCAGCTTCTGCTAACCTTTCTTTGAATTTTCAAAACTGAGTTTTATTCAGAGATTTGGCACTCTACTGGAAGACCTAACCTCCTGCAAATCTGTCTTCTATCTTATCACCTATCTTATACGGGGGAGGAAGGAGGAGGGGAGCAGGGGCAGGCAATCAATCACTCTCCAGCTCTGTTTTGTCCGTCTGGTTAGGTGGTCAGTCACGTAGCCAGAACTTGTGATGCCTGTGCCTTTTCTGTTATCAACCCTTGTACTCTTCCCTCGGGCTCTCGAAGCTTCAGTGTCTGCTGGTATCAGCCTTGCTGAGCTGGGAGAGGAGATAGCACAGAACAAACAAACCATTAACAGTGTTTACTGCTAGGCTAAGGAATAACATGTGCGGGCTGATTCTTTTCTACATTATGGAGTACAAATATGTCTTTATAATAAAGAATATAATAGTGTTCCCATTCATTCCGTCCTCTATCAAAGGGAAAAAAAAAAGACTCTGGAGCTCAGAGGGCAAATGACTTCTGGGAAGTATCCTCTGTGATTTGCAGCACTGACAGACAGGCTTCCTGGAATGGGGGTAGTAAAGACCGGGCTGTGGAGGCAAGAAAGGGAAGCAAGGCCCTCATCTGAACTGTGGCATGCCAGCAATGTGAATTCACTGGAGAGTGTTGAAGGAACTGGGGGTCTTGGGTAGCCAGGGCACGGCCTTGCAGATGTGTACTGGAAGAGAAATCTAACATTTAGTTCACCAAGGATGGAGCATAGCACGGTAAAGCCGTTTTTGGTGGTGTTGGTGGTGGTAGTTTTTTTTTTTTTCTTAGCCTGTAGCTACCGGTTAAAAGGGCCCCCTGTGAAGGCCAGGCGGCCCCAGTTATGCGCCAGCAAAGTGCTATGGCGCCAGAGCTTAATCCTCGGCCCTATAGGGGGCTCAAAGGCAGAGAGGTTTTGTTTTTTTTTTTTTTAAAGACGAGGTCTCACTGTGTATCCCTGGATGGCCTGGAACTTAGTATGTAGACCAGGCTGGCCTCTTCCTCTCTCAAATGCTGGATTTGAAGGGCACACACTACCAAATATCTGGTAGTAAGAGGGCACTTTTGATTCATCCAGACCCACAAATGCTAATGTCACAGACTAGTTGGCAGTTGGCAAGGGTAGGCTATAAACATTCTCAACATAGTCCCCCAGAAACACCTCTCTCTTTCTCTCTCTCTCTCTCTCTCTCTCTCTCTCTCTCTCTCTCTCTCTCTTAAAGCTTTATTGGAAAGATTCCCGAGATCAACATCACCTGCCCCAACGTGGGAGCCACTTTATAAAGTCAGAATCAGAGTGCTAATCCAGCTCTTCACTTGGGGGAATGGCTTAACCCCTTAGCCTCAGTTGCTCATATCTATAACGTGAGGCTAGTGGCACATTCTTTGGGTATCAGTATTTTTTCAGGTAATCTTTTTTTATTAGCTACTTATTTAAAGATATTTTTTATGTATACATGTATACAATGCAACATGATCGTCTCTACCCCGCCCCTCCCCTGTTTCCTTCCCATACATCCTCCAACATTCCCCCTCCCCCTATTGTCATAGTTAGTGCTGTCTGCTAGAATGTTAGCTGCTTTTGATGGCTTGATCTTGCAGTGAGTTCCTGAGTACAATAGCCATGTTTAGTCCAGACGGCAGCATTTCACCGATACCTCAGCTCCTACACTCTTCCCGCCCCTTCTGCAGTGTCTCCAGAGCCTTTGGGGAAGGGGAAGTTGATGTAAACGTCTCATTTAGGGCTGAACGTGTTAACAGTCACTTAGGTACAAACAAAGGTTTAGAAGGCAATTTGACAAGTCTTTGTAGTGAAACAACAGTAGTAGGTTCCCCTAGGGCCATGATCTCCCAAGCTAAGAGCTTCTGAACAGTTTACAATACCAAGCATGAATTTCCTCCTGTGGAGCCGGCCTCAAGTCCAATCAGCAGGTAGTTGGCTACACTCAAACCATTCACGGCTACTAATTCACCAGTGATTACAGCTTGCCTGGCGGGCCAGCATTGTAACATTCAGGGGTCACTGCTGTGTCATACTGTCACACTATAGATGTCGCTTCTTCCCTAGCAGCCTACATAGCACCCCTGGCGCTAGAGGGGCTGTTGAGCTGAGTGGAAGTTTTCAGGCCAGTGCCAGCAATCAAGAACAATGGCAATAGCCTGTGTTATGTTGGGATCCCCCTGATAACTTTGAAAATAAAACTTTGACAGCTCAGTGAATAAAGGTGCTTGCTACCAAGCCTGAAGACTCAACTGTGATTCCTGGGACTCACCTGGGAGCAGGAGCAAACCAACTCCTGCAAGTCGTCCTCTGACCTCTGCACCCACATGGGCTCATGCCTGTGCATGCACATGGACGCACGTGCACACACACACACACACACACACACACGTACAGGCACGCTAAATAAATAAATGTAAAAGTATTTTTGAAAATCTTTTCAGAAAATTTGAGAAAAATCTTGTTTCTTATGTGTATCAGATGTTTTCTGTTTATATTTTAGTTTGAAAGTCATTTTGTGTATTCTTCCTTAATTTTGGCTTCACTGGTCTGGAAAAAAAGTATGATTTCAAGTCAAAGTAAATATTGTAAATTCTTTTAGATTACAATTTCTGTGAAGTCCTCTATTAACCATGTCTAATAGCTAATTATCTTAGTAGCTGAATCTTCTGTGAACATACAGTCTCACATAAAAAGTCAGGCACCCACAGGCTATGGTGGTGCACCACTTTGATCTCAGCACCCAGAAGGCAGAGTTCTTTGGGTACACAGACAAATCTCACAGGCAGATCTCTGTGAGTTCCTGGTCAGTCAGGTCTATATATAGTGAGGCACTGCCAAAAAAAAAAAAAAAAAAAAAAGCACAGTGGTACATATCTAAAAATGCCTGAAATCCTGGCACTCAGGGTGGTGAGACAGGAAGATCATGAGTTCAAGGATAGCCTGGGCTACATAGAGAGTTTCAGGCCAGCCAGCTTAGAATGTGTAGTAAGACTGTGTTTCAACCAAACAACAAAAAGATTATAGAGTAATGTAAATTTATATTATTCTGACATAAAATAAAGACAATCAAGAGTGTCATTGTTGTATACATTGGGCTATGTTAACTCCTTGCTGTCGGAAGTATAACACTTATGAACGACTGTGTCCTGTTTTCCTTATAGGCAGTAATCATGATTTTTTTTTTGTTTTTTTGAAACAGGGTTATCTCTGTGTAGTCCTGACTGTCCTGGAACTCACTCTGTAGACCACGCTGGCCTCAAACTCAGAAATCCGCCTGCCTCTGCCTCCCAAGTGCTGAGATTAAAGGTGTGTGCCACCACTGCCTGGCTTTATTTCTTATTGAACACTTTAATTCTTAAGGAGTCAAGACAAACTGAAGTAGATCCCTGATCTTAAATTTACATTAAATACTATTTCATACTGTATAGTCTTGCCTTTGTAGGGAGTGACTCTTTAATACCAGGTATCTTTTGATTAGAGTATGTGTTTGTCTGTATGTGATTTTATGTTTTTGAGTCAAGGCCTTACTCTGTAGCTCCAGATGGCCTTTGAACTCAGTGATCCTCCTTTCTTGGCTTTTCAAGTGTTGGGATTGCAGCCATGGGCCACCATGACTCTTTTGCTTAGGCTATATCAATTTCACTATTTTAAGAAAAAAAGGAGGGAAGAAAAAAGAAAAAGACAAGACTTGGTCACTTCATCCATTAAAGAAGGAATGTTAAGTATCTATATTTAGGTTGCCTACAGCACTGGCTTTTAAGAGTTTCTTGGCTGTAACCTCGTATAGTACACACATTTATTATCATTCTTCCTGCTCAGCGCCCCCCCTCCCGGTACTGAAATACTTTTGCAAAGTACTTCATCCTACTATATATAAGATGCTCTAATCAGGTCTATTTTATTCTATTTCAATTACAAAAGTCATGAACTAGGTGTGCTGGTGCACACTTGTGATTCCACTGCTTAGAGGATTCTGCAAGCCTGGTGTCACCTACAGCATGAATTAGAAGCTAGCCTGTGATACTCAAGACCATGCCTCAAAAAAAGAAAAAGCAAGAAAAATCTCCCCGATCAGAGATTGGAGTGCTCAAGTAGTAATTGTTGACAAAAACATCAAGCACCCAACAATTAGACACTTGGATACATAACCTTGGTGTTGGTCTTCACCAACTATCCCAAGTAGTATTTTTTTTTTTGAGGCTTGAGTACATTTCATCCACAAGAAATACAGCTGCAGCTCCAATGGGGCCTTCTAACTCCAATGAGAGGACACTGCACATATATCTCCCAAAAGACACCTGACTTCCACAAGAACCCATTGACCCCTGGTGTCAAGATTGTTAAAAGTAAATGATCTAACTGGATGCCTCTCCTGAAGTTATTCTTTGGACAAAAAGAAGAACCCTAACCATATTAAGCCTCACTTGTATTGAGAATCCATATGGCTATAATCTCTGGGACAAATAGGAACTCATTACTGTGTATTTGTGCAGAAAGAATACTTCCTGACGATATGTGGCTAATGTTATTGAGAAAGGGGCCCTATATATTTATGGCCAACAGAGTGACCTACCCTTATTTGGGGAATCTACAACTTGCTAATTCTTTGGACCAATATTATCATCTTGGATAATATATAATGTTGGGGAGTTTTCAATATGCTGTCAGGGTTTTCCACCCTAGGACTCTGGCAAGCACCAAGCACACAGTGGTTCTTAACTAGAGGCAATTTAACAATGTTCAGCCACATTTTTGGTTGATGTAACTGGGGTGGAGGGACAACTGGCAGTCAATGGATAGAGGCAAAGGATGTTGTTTATCTTTCAACGTTCAAGACAGCTCCTCACAACAAATGGTCCTTAAGTAGTAATGATGGTAAGGCTAGGAAACCACCATTTTCCTGAGTGGTTATATCAATGTGGAAACCTTCGCTTTATACTTTTGTTTGTTTGTTTGTTTGTTTTTGTTGTTGTTTTTATTTTATGTATTCACCATTGCACTCTTCAGACACACACCAGAAGAGAGCATCAGGTCCCATTGCAGATGGTTGTGAGCCACCATGTGGTTGCTGGGAATTGAACCTGGGATCTCTGGTAGAACAGTCAGTGCTCTTTACCACTAAGCCATCTCTCCAGCCTAGCTTCATTCTTTATAAAGAGTCACTTTTTTCTTTGTTTGATTTTAGGTGGATTTATTTATTTATTTATTTTTGAGACAAAGTTTTTCTCTGTAGCCCTGGCTATCCTGGAGCTCACTATGTAAGCCAAGCTGGCCTCAAACTCATGGTGGTCTGCTTGCTTCTTCAGCTTGAGTGTTGGAATTAAAAGCATATGTCTGGCTTTACTTATCTGTCAGGTTGTCCAGGTTGACCACCATGATCTTACTATCCTTGAAAGCTGGGGGTTATTTGCTTTGTTTTGTTTTTGGTAGTTCTAGGAATCCAACCAAAAGCCTTTTATGTAAAAGGCAAATGTTCATTTAATAAGCAATATTCCTAGCCCTTTTTTGTTTGAGACTGAGTTTCATTACGTAGCCCAGGCTGCCCTTGACTTGTGATCCTCCTGGTTCAACCACATAAGCACTGGCATTACAAATGTGGAACACCACACCCAGCTGAAAGCTCTTTATTATAGCTGGGATACTTACAGGATTCATCTTGGTATCTAAGCAACCAGAGTATCTTGTCTTAAAATTGTTGAATTATTTTACATAAGAGAAATGGTGGACTTTGTGGCTTTTTTTTAATGTTTTTCAAGACAGGGTTTCTCTGTGTAGCCCTGGCTGTCCTGGAACTCACTCTGTAGACCAGGCTGGCCTCGAACTCAGAAATCTGCCTACCTCTGCCTCCCAAGTGCTGAGATTAAAGGTGTGGGCCACCACTGCCCTGCTTTTGTGGCTATTGAAATAG